CCGTGTTAAGAATCACACGTTGACAGGCTAGATCTCGTTAGTCCTCAACAACATCACAGGAGCCATGAGAACAACACCAACCGTGGCAATGGAATTAATTACGTGTCTGACCCCTCTGGACCTGTACGTTAAGGAGGTTGCGTTAATGGCCATGTTACGATTGCGCTCGCTGGTGTAAACTTTGAAGTAGGAATGGGTCAATTGAGGCTGAGTCTATGGCGAGAAGCACTTACCACACAACCTCTGCTGCAAGCAACCAGTGATGCAATTGAATCTAGGTTTGTGTTTGATAAACTCTACAAAATATAAATATGAGTGTATGCCAGATCACTAAGCTTAAGGATTAAGTGACTAGTGGGAAAAATACCACCATGGTCCAAAGAGAACTAGTTGGTATCTCAATCGCCACAAAAGAAATCACCAGGAAAGGAATTTCTGGCAAAAATATAACAATCTGCACTGACAGCAGACAAGCCCTATTAGCCTTGAACAGACAACGTGTTACCTCAGGGCTAGTACTCTTTAGCCAAAAAAGCGGCTGGACTAAGAATTTCAAGACCCAGTGGCACCAACGGCCTGATGACTTTGACAATTGAGAAACTAGCCAAATGTTACACCCATGCTCAATCCTTAAAGAAATGGGGTATGGGATCAAAGGATGCAATCCTGCCAGGATGACCCTGGGCCACCTTGGGAAAAATCTACGCTCAACAGTAGGATTTCTGACTGGCCACTGTCAACTGAGGAGATACCTCCATTATATGGGGCTAGTAGACACACCTCTATGCAGGATATCTGAACAGAAAGATGAAACTGTCAGGCATGTCCTATGCGAGTGCCCGTCTGTGTTCGGCGAGTCTTGACTTACACCTACCCATTTAAAGGGGACGTCTCCCAGTGACTACCAGTCCACCTTCTAGGAAAGGATAGGATGGACGATGACCTAGTAGGACAACTCCTCGGGAGGATGTACAATAGGTCACATGTGGCCTAAGTGCTGTGGGCTTACACTCATCCTCCCTACTCTACAGATACAGATACAGTCCTCAACTCGCACAAGTTTCAACTTTTGAGAGTTGTCTTGCATAAGCGAGCCACAGCTGATAAAAGGAAGAACGGATTTTTTCATAACAGATCTAATGGTTAGTGAAAGAGTAGTTGATATCACCAACATATATAGTACTGAGAAACGCAAAGATGTTCTCATTTCTGGTATAGTTCAAGTAAAAGATATAGTGCACCCTAACTTCCAGCAGTTCCCCTTTAATAACACACACAACGGCGGTACTCATCGCTACATTCTGTTGGTCACAAANTCAAATTTAATTTTATGACTCTTCAGACAATCATAAAACTCGGTTAGTAAAAATTATCCAATACGAACCGCCAATTCTTCAGTCCACGTGGACTAATTCGTTGCGGCATAACTCCTTTGTATTGGTTTTTTTGGCCTTTGACTTCGCCGACACCTTTAAGATTTCTATATCAGTTACTTCGACTATACCTTGTGGGTAGTACATTTCTTATGTATACATTGTTTATGGTATGTAGATTTCAGTAGGAGTAAATAGTTTCAGGTCAGGTTTGTTTTTCATTTGAAGTTTGAATGTGGTAATTCAGCAATTCATAACAGTAGTCGGAAAAGTATTGAATCTGATCACTTGAAGCGTTTTGTTTCTGGTATATCATTAATTCTACATTTCGAATATTTGAAACATACGCACAAATTAAACCCTTTCATTTTCCACTTCAGAATTATCCAGACTGACTTTATGTACCTAATTGTATTCATCAAAAAATATTTGATAATACTCATTTGCAGGGTGTCTAATGTATTCCGAAAATCACCAATCTTCTTGCAATTATAGCATTTTATTTGTTTACTGCTGTTTTGACTGTCATTGTTTGACGTTGACGTTTGTAGTTTTGAATTGACACCGCGGTTAGTGTTGCCACTTCTCCACCGCTGTTTTGACCAAAATGCAGAGTGCACTCCAGTAGTGCCAACCTCCTCACACATGTCCAGTAACTTTGTCTTGATGACGTCAGCGCTAATGACGATGCCGGAATGCTTGATCGCCATTATCATAGGTGGAAACTTATCTGGGAGTCCAGCCAAAAGCAACGATCCGATCCACTCATCTATGATCTCAAAACCTGTACCCTTCAATTTCTGCGCCATTTCAACTGCTTGAGATACGTAGGCTGTTATGGAATCGCTATTTTCAAGGTTCTTGAAATTAATATTCGAAGCAAACAGATTTTTCGTTGATAACCGTTGTCATCGAACAATTTTTTTAAATTATTCCACACACCATCCACCGTACTCTCATTCTCGGTATGCACGTATAAAGAGAAGTCGATAGTCATCACGAGTTTGGCTTTAGCTTTCTTCGTCTCAGCATCACTGAATGCCACTGGTAGGTTTTCTAAATCAATTCCCTCTAGCAGCAAAAAATTGCTTGCGGCAAACGCCCAATCGTCGTAATTTTCTCGACCTTTGAGTTTCGGCACATTGACTAGGTAACCTGACGTCGACATTGTTTACTTTTAGGACACTAAACTACTTTTTGGACCGAATTTAATTAGGAAATATGAGACTGGGCCCATAACCTAATAAAACACACATGGAGGTTGTCCAAAAACTAATTGTTTTTTATTTCATACATTCCTTTTTACACATGGACAATTTGTGTTAAATCCTAATAGATGGCGCTTGTAGTAACATAATATTTTGATAATAACTTTAACAGTAACCATGTCCGTGATTTTTCGTTGAACTGTATCTGGTTAGAAGAAGCTTATGTCAGTAGTGCCGACATTTCCAACCGCCACAATTTTATACGTGGGCACAACAAAGTCTCAATTTTATTGTGGAGCAAAGAAGTCGAGAAAGATTTGGATTCAGTGTGTGGGCAGGTGTTTTCAGGGGTAGAATCATCGACCCGTTCATTTTTAATGGCATTGCCTCATCTCAGACGTATTTAGTAATTCTAAGGCAAAATATGGGACCCCTTGGTGATGATTTGCCACTAATGGAGCTCAGGAAAATATACTTTCAACAAAAACTGCCTTCGCCTGACAACACTGCAATTGTCACCAATTTTTTGGCTGTAAATTTTGGTAATAATTGGATAGCTAACCAAGGACCCAACCGTTGGATGGCCAAGTCACCGGATCCAACCGTTAGACGTCTAGTCACCGCACCTAACGGCCTGGCCACGAGGATCGGCGGTGCGAACGTCGAAGCGGGGGGCGAGGCGATCATTCGCGCGGCACCGTTTGCAGGCCACGGGCAGTAATATTCCCACCACGACCAGTAGTCCGACCTCGAAATATCTTTATCGAAATCATCTCGATATTGCTTGTAAAGTAATAGGTTTTTGGTTCAAGACCTAATATTTGGAAGAGATTGTGGAGTACATGATTTGAATAAGAATCGGGGTATAGATTGAGAAGTCTACAAGAAGAACAAGAAATTCAGATTATATCCAGTAAAATTTTTTGAGTATACCTGAATGAGTATTGAAACCTCCGATTATATTCATATGAATATTCAACGAGAAATGGAGAAAACAGTTAATGCAAATAGAATTTCAAGTGCCGCTGAAAAATTGTTTTTGACATTAGGGAATGTACTTAACTTATCTGTACATATCCATCTATATTAATCTACTCAAAGGATGCAATCCTGCCAGGATGACCCTGGGCCACCTTGGGAAAAATCTACGCTCAACAGTAGGATTTCTGACTGGCCACTGTCAACTGAGGAAATACCTTCATTATATGGGGCTAGTAGACACACCTCTATGCAGGATATGTGAACAGAAAGATGAAACTGTCAGGCATGTCTTATGCGGATGCCCGTCAATAAGAGAGTCTGTGTTCGGCGAGTCTTGGCTTACAACTACCGATATAAAGGGGACGTCTCCCAGTGACTACCAGTCCACCTTCTAGGAAAGGATAGGATGGACGATGACCTAGTAGGACAACTCCTCGGGAGGATGTATAATAGGTCACATGTGGCCTAAGTGCTGTGGGCTTACACTCATCCTCCCCACTCTACAGATACAGATACAGTCCTCAACTCGCATAAGTTTCAACTTTTGAGAGTTGTCTTGCGTAAGGGAGCGACAGCTGATAAAAGGAAGAACAGATTTTTTCATAACAAATCTAATGGTTAGTGAAAGAGTAGTTGATATCACCAACATATATAGTACTGAAAAACGCAAATGTGTTCTCATTCCTGGTATAGTTCAAGTAAAAGATATAGTGCCCCCTACCTTCCAGCAGTTCCCCTTTAATAACACACACAACGGCGGTACTCATCGCTACATTCTGTTGGTCACCGTAACATGACTTCAAATTTGATTTTATGACTCTTCAGCCAATCATAAAACTCGGTTAGTAAAAATTATCCAATACGAACCGCCAATTCTTCAGTCCACATGGACCAATTCGTTGCGGCATAAATCCTTTGTATTGGTTTTTTTGGCCTTTGACTTCGCCGACACCTTTAAGATTACTATATCAGTTACTTCGACTATATCTTGTGGGTAGTACATTTCTTATGTATACATTGTTAATGGTATGTAGATTTCAGTAGGAGTAAATAGTTTCAGGTCAGGGTTGTTTTTCTTCTTCTTCTCTTCTTCCGAACTCTTTCAAAACCACCAGGATCACTTAAGAGACACACTATTCAAATTGAATGTCTGCAGCCGGAATGTTGTTGATAAGTACCAACGAAATTGTTATATTTTTTATTACTTGGTAGATCCAGTGTAGTATACTTTTATTTCGGCTACGATAATGATTCTAAAATTACCAAAATTGTTATTGTCGAAATTCTTTTCGCCCTGTATCTTCGAAACACGACGCCCTTTAAAAATCATCAACGGACAAAATATCCTTAGAAAATAGTCCAAGGAATGAACCTTTAATCTCTGATAAACACCCTGTATGTCGATATTTGATCAACATTTTACATATTCTCATTTCAGAACCACATGAGTGGCAACCAAGATGGAGGGAGTGAAATATTCGAGTGTCCAGGGGAAAAAATCACATCCCATGTATCAGGGATCTTTCTTGTCCAGGCTCTTTTTCTGGCAAGTATCATCAAGCATATATCCATTGAGCTACACTGATATGAAAATAAAAGATTCATGTGTTAGGAAAAAGAGCTTCTTGGCTTTCTACTTATCCATCTCAAACTTCCAAAGAAAGGAGAAAATGAAAGAAAGGAAGAAAAAGCCATTCGACACGACAACTTCTAAATTTATGAAAATTAATAACTCTCAAATTACTTCATCTTATTCAGTTTGTATTCCAATCATTCATCATGAAACAGGAACATTATACAATATAATACATGAGAGAAATATAAATTATCAGGTTGTTCCAAAAGTGTTGTTTGTTTAAATGTTATGTATTTTTGTAGTTCCATATTAGTCCTGTTAATTTAGCGATAAACCTTGGAATTAGAGGTAATAAGCTGAATATTTCTATACACCTTTATTATGGCGTCCAGAAAGCTGTCTCCAAATTCTCAAATAATCTCGTGTCTGTACTGGAAGTTATACAAGGTCAAAGGTAAAAATAACAGTTTTTTGCGGTTATCTGAGTTTCTATTGCTCCAAAAATGTAAACATCTATTTTTAAAATTATGTAGCATAAAATTTAGGATTAATTTTATTTGAATTTTGTTTCATGCGTTCAATAGTTTTTGAGATAGAAGGCGGTAAACGCGCAGCGCTCTGCCATGCGTTCTGTAATCCAAGTTCAACCGTGAATATCTGTGAATATTATCTTCAATTTTGAATAACTTGTATCATTTATCAGTTGATATATTATATTCAAGAACGTTTTATAATTCACATACATTAATATAATAATACTTACCTACTTTGGGTAATTAAAAACTCATTATGAAATAATCATTGTACATTTAAATGTATTGAAAATACATTTGAAATATAAAAATAATTAGACATTTCATCTTAAAAGGTATACATTTTTTGATGTTATATAATATATTATACTTATCACATTATTATATACCTTACATTTATATTAATTTATTCAAAGGAAATTTTAAGGAAGTAAAGTGAGTTAATATATTTTGATTTTATCTTTTTTCAACAGCTGTACATTTCTGACAATTAAAATGAAATTTTTGTGAAAATCTTTAATAATGTAAAAAAAGAAAAGTATTAGTTTTCTTCTTCTTCATCTTCTGGACGTTCAGGGATTTCTGTTTCATCGTCATAATCTTCGTTGTCCTGAATCGTTGTTTCCAGATCTTTCAGAATTTCAGGGCCAAATACATTCCCTCCTTCACTGTCACTTTTCAAAGATACAGTATTGAGGCAAGCTTGCCCATTACACTAACCACAAGCTAAAGTGGATTGCAACCCCGACTCTCTACATCCGCACCGTGGACCATATCTATCATCACAATTGCAAAATAAAATATTGAATGTTTTCAAATATAATAATTTAACTGATACATAATACAAATTATTCAAAATTGAGGGTAATATTCACAGATATTCACGGTTGACCTTGGATTATAGAGCGCACGTCAAAGCGCGGCGCGTTTACCGCCCTCTATCTCAAAAACGATTGAGCGCATGGAAAAAAGTTCAGATAAAATAAAATTTATTTCAAATTCCATGTTCCTCAATTTTCATAATAAATGTTAACATCATTAGAGCAATAGAAACTGAGATAGCCGCGAAAAACTGTTGTTTTTCACCTTTGACCTCGTATAACTTCCGGTACAGACACGAGATCATATGAGACTTTTGAGACAGCTTTGAGAACGCCATAATGAAGGTATATACAAATATTCAGCCCATTACCTACCATTCAGAGCTTAACCCCTTTTTTATGCTGAAGTGACTGGTCTATATGTAAATAAATGATAATTCTACTGTGTCGTATCACATACTGATTGATAGACAATATCGTACTCTAAACATTGATGCTGTTGATTTTTTCCAACTTTTATTTCATTATTTTTTTCTACTGATTCAAATTGAAACAAAGCGCTGCCGAAGCAGCCTAAAGAATTGACCATGGTATTTGGCAATGATAATGATGATGAACGCACGGTTTTACTTTGGTTTGCGAAATCCAGGACTAGCTAGTATTTGAGGATCCTGATGGAGACTCAAACATCACAAACGGTGCATGGGATAACGGGATGTCTACGCTCCCAGGTTGTTGTTGGTGGTTTGAAACATGCTGGAAAGGCCAAAAAGTTCGGAAAGTAGGTGCCCCGCGATTTGAACGGTCGACAGGAATTGTCACGTTTCGAGGAATGTTCCTCTTTGATTTTGCGCAACCGAAACGATCTTTTTTGATTCGATCATCACAGATAAAGAATAGTGGAGACGTTGAGGACAGTGGCTGGACACCAATGACCTACCCAGGCACTTCCCAAAGGCAAACACTCACTATATCTTTCTGCAACCGGGCTAAACCATCACAGCAGAGTCCTATCGTGGGGATGACGACCAAATGTACTGTAAATTGCGTCAACAGCAGTCGGCACTGGTCAACAAAAAGGTCCAATATTGCATAATGACGATGTCAGTCTGCATGTTCCATAAATCACCGTCAAAAATTTAATGAGTTGGTGTCGAAATTGTGCCTCACCCATGACCTTTCGTCAACCAAACATTATTTTTTTCATCCACTTTGATTACTTTCTCACCGGTAGAACCTTCACCAATCAGGACCAGACAAAAACGGCTTTTGTCGACTCCATCGAATTCCGAGCACCCAAATCCCATGCTAACGGAATCAATTAACTTTTGTGACGTGGGCAAAATTGCACTGATTCGAATAACGCTCATTTTGATTGAATTGAATAGGTATGCACTGATATACTACAGTTGAAGTACGATTAAAAAAAGAGACAACAATTTTTGAAATAGCCTAAAAAATTTCACATGGATGACATTTATTCTTGTGGGTTTTGGATTTTTCCCAAGAGCATGTTTTCTTTGATAAATGGGATCTGCAGATACTAATGAATTATAATAATTTTGTTGAAAGTAACTTTTTTTGTGGAAACAGGAAATATCGAGAATTGTTACAAAAATGGTTTTTGATAACAAAAAGTTCTACAAAGAATATTTGACCAATTTTTATAGCTGATAGGTAGAGATGGAGCCACTGGAATGAAAAGAATTTTATAACACTATTTTTACCGTATGAGTGCACCATCAGGAAATGACCAAAACTGTTCTACAAGGTTTCTGTCATACTCTTTTTCTTACCAGAGAAGACTTCCAGCAGAGCTTTCTAATTATTTATTTTTCATAACAATCGTATTTTTTATAATGATTTTTCGCAGGTGGTTACCGTCATTTCTGTGGAAGGGCTTGAAAAAAGAAATAGAAGAAGACGACATATATGAAACTGAGAAGTCGCAAGAATCAGCCTTGCTTGGTGGTAAATTGGAAATTGCATGGAAGGAGGAACTGAACAAAGAGAATCCCTCATTAGCAAAAGCACTGTTCAGGGTTTTTGGAGGTGAATTGGCCATATTCGCCGTATACCACATATTCGCTGAGTGTGTCAAGTTAGTACAATCACTTCTTTCTATCAGAATGGGTAACTTTTTAAAACTTATTATTCAAGTATTCCACGCTTGAGTAAAAATTGACCTAATAATAATTTCTATTCGAAAAATGTTGTACAATTGATGCTTTGCTATAGTCATCTTTGTAATACAAAGCTTTTATGTTTTTTCATGTAGACTTTGAAACGCAAAGTAGGTTTTGAACGATGCGGCGATAAAACTAAAAACAAATCTTTACTGGTAGCTGTATTTCATCAGTTCGGACTTCCATTGTACAATATAATATAAATTGATTTGAAATCCCTGGAAAAAAATACTGGTAGCTGTCAAATTTTGATTGAAGCAGTGAAGACGCTTTTCAAGGGGTTTTTGTTCAATTTTCAAAGACATTCGCAATGTATGAGAATTATGAAAATTGGGATATGATAGTATGTTTTATACAAACCCAGGAAAATGTAGAAGCAGCAAGCAATTTGTAGCAAGAGAGGTATCGAAAGAGAAGACAACCTTCAAGAGACATTTTTGCAAGATTACGACACAACCTAATCGATGGTGATAAATTTGAAAAAAAGGCCAAAATTATATGGATCAAATAGGGAAAATAAACTGGAAGAAATAGTCGTTTTAGGAGCTGTTGAAAGTAATCCCAAAACGTCAACGTGAAATTGGAAAATATCAACGGGTCCACTAAGAACTGAAGTTAGTAGGATTTTGTAACAACACAAATTCAAGCCATACAGGACCAGAAGAGTTAACCAGAGAGAACCAGAGATTTTGAACGCCTTATGTCTTTTTGCCAATGGTTCCTGGAAATAATAAAACACACATGGAGGTTTTCCAAAAACTAAACTGTTTTTTATTTCATACATTCTTTTTTACACATGGACAATTTGTGTTGAATCCTAATAGATGGCGCCTGTAGTAACATAAAAGTATTATTTTGATAATGACTTCAACACCTCCACTTATCAAAATAATCTGAACTTACAAAAAAAATACATGAAAACATATACAGCCATCAAGCAATACCAAAAAAAATAGCATAATAAACAATCATGTTTTTCAATATATCAAACAATAGTATGAATACCTAGCATTTTAACAAAATAGTTATGTTTCACGCTACTTAACCCTTTCGTAAGAATGTCGGCAGGCATTTCAGATGTTAGCAGATAAACTACTTTTATGAGTTTGTTAGCAACTGCTTCTCTAACAAAATGGTGGCGCACATCAATATGCTTCTTTAGCTCGCAAAAGTTTCTCAACTTCCGAGAGTTGTCGTTCGTATGGGGGCGACAGCTGATTAACGGAAAAACAGATTTTAAACAGAAACAGATAATAATATTTCACGAAATATAAACACTTTCAGATAATTATGTTATTTATTGCAAAAATCTAAACTATATGACAGTAAATAACTGAAACAAAAAACAACCTGTAACTTTTAATTGACGATAGAATGAATAACGAATTTCTAACTTTTTAATCAGTCTTTTATTCAGCAATGAAAGTATTGGTGTTCATTTTTGGCGGCGAAAACAACTAAACTCGTTCGATCACTGCACCATTCGCCGCGACTGCCGCTCGACTTCGTTGCTTGCGCCATAAAGATTCATGCCTTTGTTTTGCTTGCTCGCCGCGCCGCAAGTCGCCCACGCGGTTCGCTAGGTACATTTCGCCGGTCGCCGTTGCGCGTGGATTCATAAATACATTGCTATGGATTTATTTCAGTCGCTAGACGCTTCGCCGTTCGCACCGCACGAATATTCGCATCGGCGAATGTCCCGTGGCCAGGCTGTAACGGTTATGGACTTTCACCTCTGGGGAAGGTTGAGAGATCTTATTTTTGGATTGCCCACCAATTCTAGATACGAATTGGAAACGGCAGTGATGCAAAGTTTTGCTTCTTTCACTCCTTTTGAACCAATGAATTCGGCAGATAACGTTCAGAAATGGTGTCGCAAGTGTTTGAGAGGAGCTGGTAAACATTCCGAACACATTCTTTGAAGAAATATATTCAATTGTTTGTTCTTTATCATTTTTATTTTCATTATTATTATTGGAGTTTCATTTATTAGTAGTGAATATAGTGTACACTGTTAGTTATTGTTATCGAAACTATGCGTTTTAATGACTGCTGTGAGAAGCTCTCTCAACATTTGATAGCTATTTCTGAACAATTTCTTTCTGTTTCATCGTCGGTTCGCTTCGTCCAAAGCATACTTATGAAAGTTTGCGTTTCAAAGTGCACATGAAAAAACTTGATGACTCTAGCAAGGTGCTTCGAAAATGTTTTCATAGGAACAAGAAATTATCTGTCTGAAAAAGAGTTTAACAACTTTTCCAGAATGCACATTTTCAAAAAACATGCTGTAACTCAGAAACGATAATATATAATAATATGCCGTTTTCACCGTTGAGTTTATCATGAAACTTGACCTTCAAACAGAGCCACCAGTTTTAATTTATCGAATTTGGAAACAGGAGTTTCCCTTCAAAAGTGTCTAGGTTGACGCACTCTGTCTCGTTATTCCACTTGGATTCCAGGACATCGGTTATGGATGCACATCTTCACCGGCAGCGGGAGATTACATTTCTCAATGAGGATTTGGAAGTGATTTCGAGTTGAGGTGGAAGTAACCAGGTTAAATTCATTGCCACAAAAACCCAGGCATCGGTTTTCTCCAAGAAGATAAATGTCGTCGAGCCGGATATAATAATGTCAGGTCAGACAATTCCGCTTTCTGCTTCGATCAGTTTGAACACCAGTATGTCTTGGCGCAATCATGTTGCTGGAATTGCAAAGGCTGCTTCTCGAAAGCTTGGAACACTGTTTCGAACCAGAAAACTGTACAGACCTCAGCAACTTCTGATGCTATATAAAGCTCAGATCAGGGCTTCGAAAGCTTGGAACACTGTTTCGAACCAGAAAACTGTACAGACCTCAGCAACTTCTGATGCTATATGAAGCTCAGATTAGGTCTTCTTTGAAGTATTGTTCATACGTATGGAGCTTCGCTTCTAAGCATATACTGAAGCTTTGCGGAAAATAAAAATTCAAAGTCGTCTTCACAATTTATTTTTATTCTTCGCAAATCTACTGCACTTCACAATGAGATATAATGAACTCCTACCAGAGTTTGATATATTGAAGCTGCACTTGTGAACTTGATAGTTCAAAACATCGAAGAAAGGTTGGAGATTTGTCTCTCTTTTACGAATACTTTCACGGGAGGTGATTTTATTGTCCAATAATTCAGTTCAAGTTCGTATTTCTATTTCGAGCTGAGGATGAAATAGACGGGTATATAATTTATGTAACATAAATTTTCCAATTTTCAAAAGCAACAACAATTTCATGACGATTCGTAGTGATTTTTTAATGAACAATTTGCTGATTTCTGTATAATTATGTATAATGAATACATTTTCATTCCACCCTCATCAAATATGTTTTTTATTCTCTAGATTGTTGATGATAACTTGGTCATCGAAACGCGCAGCCTTTTTGTTTCAGTATGAGGAGAATTTGTTTGATAGATTCGCAACTATGTGATATCGGAATAATAATATGAAATGTGATCATGATTGATTTATATAAACAGAGAAAAACCGGACCAATAAATGATCCTTGGGGTGTATAGAAAATCAATTTTTGGAAAATTATTTGATGAATATCTTGAAAAACAGATTTATTTTTCATTGTGCAGATGTTTTATAGTCAATCGTATTGAAAATCTTATCAATTTCTATTTCAATTTCTGAAAAAATATTTTTTACTATTGTTTTTGGGAACATGTTATGTATTTTTGAAATCATTGCTGGAACTGAAAGCACAGAAATTGATTGATAAATGTTCAAATGATATTTTGTCAATTTTCAAGTTGTTGCGATTAACAAAATATTTGAATGAGTTTGTTTCATTGCAGAATAACACAACCCATAGTCATCTACCACATGCTTTCCCTATTACAAGATAAGAACCCAGACGAAGATAACGGAAAGATAATCACCTATGCAGCCTTTGTAGCCTTAGTAGCATTCCTCAGAGCGGCAAGCTCCCACAACTATCAAATGAGTATCGTATTTTTAGGAATGAAAGTTCGTATAGCAGTTTGCTCTCTCATATACAAAAAATCACTGAGGTTGAGCAAGTCTGCCCTTGCCGAAACGACCATAGGGCAGATGGTCAACTTGTTGACTAATGACGTTGGGAGATTCGATACTGTAGCTCAATTCTTCCATTATTTGTGGTTTACTCCATTTTTGTTACTTGTAGTGGGGTATTTTCTATTTATTTACGTCGGACCAAGTGGAATTGTTGGAATCGCATACCTGGTGGGGTTATTCCGATACAAAGTGAGTCAGAGCTTATTATTTTTCTGATTTATTTTTTGAAATTACATCTTCTGATATGAAAACTCTCACTTCCAGAGGAAATTTTGTCCCATATTCCTTGAATTTCACGAACTTCTGAAGAGAATTTTTTCATTACCATCGAAAATAATGAAAATGGTGATGTTTATTTTTATAAGTTAATAAATCTACCAAACAATTTACATGATACTAGAGAAAAATCACAGAAGTAGTTCAGACTACTTGTATGTGACACATGCTCATCGTAGTAACATATTCGAGTAGGAGCATATTTGAGTTTTTCAGTAAGTCACATGTGGGTTGAATTTTCGATAATTTCCTGTTTAATACTCATTTGTGATTCATGATATTGCTTAACATCACATCCCGTATTGAGAATGATGTCAGTTGAACAATTTTTGTATTCTTTATTTTCGGTATTATGTTTCTCATGACGCACGTCATGTGCCAAGTGTGAGGTAATTGACATTTCGTTATCCGATCATTTTTCTACATTGGGGTAAAAATATAGCAGAATTCTCTCGCGTATTTTATACAGAATAGTTGTCTTATATCCATGATTTATGCTTTATTATATAAAAGATCGCTAAAAAAATCACGTTTCTTGTCAAATATCAGTTTTATGATCCATTTTTGAGCTACATTTACACTATCTACATAACAATTTATAACACACCCCCTCCATCCAATTCTGCATGAAAGTGGTGACTGTATCAGCCAGAAATAAATCATTTCCAGAGTGAAACTTCTTTACGCGCGCTTGAATGCGTGACAAGAGCGTTACGAAAAGTGTGATCTGGCAAGGCGAACGGAAGTTGGTAGTGAGGTATAAGTTAGTGAAGATAGAAAGAGAGGGAGAATTACATTTTGTATATTACTGTAGGGCAAGAGAGAGAGAGGTATGAGCACACATTTACGGTGGAGTAGGCTCTAAAGAATGTTTTGCCAAGTTGAAGTATATGATATGACAGTATCATCAGCGAAAGTGATTGGGAAAAACAGACTATTCATGTGAATAGTAGAGGAAATAGGCCCCAGTAAGGTACCTTGAGCAACACCATAAGTCACAGTTCTGAGCATACTCGGAACACCGTCAATTTTCACACTGCGGATCATCAGATGAAGCCTGTGTAAACATAGATTCAATCAGTATCTCTTCCTCTCGTTGGTTCGTACACTGCTGAGGATATTCCTTTTTAATTACGTGAAAAAAACAAAAGCAGTACCTCTATCAGAGACACATCTTCAGAAGAGAATAAAAATTCAGATGCAAAAAATAGAAGCAAACAAGAGGCTGCAGGTAGTGAAAATTCACGAAATACTAAAAAAATTGAAGATAGAGACCGAAAACTTCAGATCTTTCTTCAGTTTGTGTTGCAATTCTTCAAATGAAGGAAAATCTGTTCTAAAAAATCTGACACGTTTTGATCTCTGTTAGAGTATCGGTACTTGGGATGTTCCTTCCGAGCTTGAGGCTTTGTTCACGAGAGGGAGCTGTTTCTAGTTACCAAACTTTCTCTTCGACGAAAGTTTCATACATGCAGTCGAGCTGCTTTGAAATTAATCGACTCCCAGGAAATTTCCTGTTTGGGTCGTATCCTTTCTGCACTGATGAGTAGTAATACCTCGAAACCGGTCTGTAAGTGACCTACTCGGATAACTTCAGCATGGTCCTACTGGTGGACCATCTAAGACCATCTAAGAGACTAACCTCTGTGAGGTATCTTCCATAAATGTCTTTTGGATATAACTCAATATCCAGCGTGGTGTCAGCCGGCGAAGTAGTTGTTTTCCGGCAGACGTTCACCATAACCTACTGTGGGGGAGATGAATATTTACTTCATAATGATTTTTTGTTTGAAACATTTTTTTCAATTTCAGTGTATTTGGCAAAGTTGGTATCTAAATACAGATTGCGTACAGCTACGCGAACGGATGAAAGAGTTCGACTCATGAACGAAATTGTTTCTGGGATACAAGTAATCAAGATGTACACCTGGGAGAAGCAATTCAGTAAACTGACTGAAATCATAAGAAGGTGAGTTAAATTCCAAAGTTGATAAAAACTCCAAAGTTAACTGAGCTACTTCCTATACTTAAAATTTCGACCTTGGTTCAATTAACCCGTATTAAACTTTCCATACAATTTTTTGGTTGAAGTCAAACCTCACGGGAAAACGTGATTTCGAAAACATGATTGGTTCAAATGTCCACCAAGGCTTCTCTGGGGATCCGAAACGTCCAATTCTCCATGAGTTCTGTTGACTTTGAGGACCACTGTGGTTTGTGGTTTTTTGGCATATACCTGCGATTCAAGGAAAACTCTCATGGAAAAGTCTAACGGGGTCAAACGGTACAATCTCGGTGGTCATTTCACATCATCTCCACGTGAAATGGCCATGCCCTCAAATAGCTCGCGCAAAATATCTAATGTGGCATGAGCTGTTTGGCATGTAGCGCCAAACCACATGTCTTTGTTGTCGAGATCATCCAATTCAGGCCAAAAGAAGTTGGTAATTATCGGTCTTCAGTGATCGCCTCTGACAGAGATGTCTTAGCCAATGTCGTTTTCAAAGGAATATGGAGCGATAATGCCGCCAACTCATGAGAATCAGGGTCAGTTGCCAACTGCTTCAGAGCCATTTCACAAACTACACCTAACGATTTGAACTTCAAAACATTATTTTGCCAGTACAGTAGCTTTTTCGTAGTGGATAACATACCCCAGAGCCCATTCAGCAAACACACGTCGTTGTCTACTGTTGTTCGCCTTCAGTTCCTGGGTCAGTTGAATTTTGTATGAATGTAGGTTCAAGTTACGACGCAAAATTCGCCAACTTGTGGTCTGCGGTCGTGAGCGACGCGAAATTGACTGCCTCGGATTTTCTGCACACTCTCATAGACAGCGGCGATGTTTTTGACAGATCTTGAGTTTCGTTAACTCACAGGTGTTGGTCGATCGTTTACTGAACCATAGGACTCGATTTTATCCACCACATTGCAAATAGTCCTCTCGGTAGGACTATTCCCACATAGCAATAGATGTTCCAGGTATATTTCATGAATATACATTTGAGGATATTGTATTATGCTATGAATATGCCATGGATATATATATATCTTTTGGAGAATATTCCCTGGAAGTGCTCCTGGCGAACCTTTGATATATTTTAAGAATATTCCTTGGGAATATTCTTGGAATATCTTATAATATTCTTAGAATATCTAAGGTATATTCTATTAAGAATATTCCAGGAATAGAACCCGAGGAATATTCATAAAATATTCAGGATATTCTTAGTTTATTGTAGGAATATACAATAGAGAAACNATAAATCTAGGAATGACGATTCGGCAAAAAATACTGAAATGTATGTCAAATGTCAAATTTCGAAAGTTTTCGTTGAAGGAACCTGTAAAAGAATCAAAAACCAATTACGAAAATATACACAGAAATTCTCATTTCGGTCACTTTCTTGGTCAGAAGGTATCTGTCTTACAGTTGGGTTTTGCCTAGTTTTGGACCTACTTATATGTCGATCTACTCATTTTTGATTGCTGTAAAATGGAATGCGTTGGTCTCTGATCTTTCAGTTACCATTTCATCAAGCGACAAAGTAACATTCCATAAAGTTACTTCTCTTCATGATTGACATAGGAAAAATGGATTATCCTCACCTGTGGAATATTTCGTGAAATCTCCACTTTTCAATAAACTAGCGACGGAAATGTGGTGTTACGCCCATGGCAAATGAATGAATGAACCGCAGCTGACAAATAATACTATGGTGCGATTATTATGAGGTTTGATCTCAGTCTAGTGTTCATTCAGTTGTAGTTTTTCTGATTATGTATATGTAGATTATCAAATTTGAACTATCGTACCGATCATTCATTCTCATGCATAGACGGAACACGGAAATTCGTAACAGTTTCAATAATTAGAAGAATTAATTAAGTCCCAGCAATGACTGACTGTATTAGAAAATACTACATTTTTTACGTATTCACACCATCGTGAAAAATACTTATTGACTGATTACATTCATTTTTATTCAGCAATTTCTGTAATTTCTATTCTTTTTATCGTTTCAGGCAAGAAATACACCAAATTAAACTATCATCTATAGTCGGAGTGCTGAAGAGAACCTACTCCATGATTTCCGTGAGAATTGCCATTTTCATCAGCATTTTAACATACGTCTTAACAGGAAACACACTTACTGCCAAGTACACATATACAGTGCTTGTATTCTATGGAGTACTCAGATTATCGATGTTGGCCTATTTCACGGAAGGTCTCTCCTTCTGTGCTGAAGCGAAAGTTTCTGTGAAGAGAATACAGCAATTTTTATTATACGAAGAACTGATGGAAACCGATGTAACGGGAAACACTTCATTCTCAAACGGTACAAAACCATTGGCAAACTTCAAGAAAGAAGAAATCGGAATATGCATAGAAAACATGTCGGCTAAGTGGGTGAAGAAGTTACCCGAGAACATTTTGCAAGGAGTCAACTTCCACGTGGCCAGCAATCAACTGGTAGCTATCGTAGGTCCGGTAGGAGGTGGTAAAACGACTCTTCTAAACGTTATTCTGAAAGAGCTAACTCCTACTGAAGGTTCAGTAGAAGTGAAAGGAACTATATCATATGCCTCCCAAGAATCATGGGTATTTGGAGCTAACGTCAGGCAAAATATCTTGTTCGGGCAAGACTATGATCCCAAGAAATACGATGAAGTTATTAGGGTCTGCGCTTTACGAAGCGACTTCGCTCGATTCACTCATGGTGACAGAACCCTTGTAGGTGAAAGAGGTGTCACTCTTAGCGGGGGACAAAAAGCACGAATAAATCTAGCAAGAGCAGTATACAAAGAAGCAGACATTTACCTCTTAGATGATCCACTATCAGCTGTAGATGCTCGAGTTGGCAAACAACTCTTCGAAGAATGCATTTCTGGATACTTGAAAACCAAATGCGTCATTCTCGTAACACACCAGCTACAATACCTCAAGAATGCAAACTGCATATACTTATTGAAAGATGGCCAAGTTCATTCGTCAGGTACCTTCGACGAGTTGAAAAATTCTGATTGCGACTTCACGAAACTTCTTGAAGAACTGGAAGAAGTAAAGAAGAAGGAGGAGGTTCCTACGGAAACCATTGTTGAGAAAGAAGATGACGTTGATGATGAAAAGTCACTCATAATCCACCAGAAAGAAAAGAAAGCCAGTGGAAAGGTAACATGGCATGTTTATGAAAGCTACCTCAGAGCAGGAGGAGGATGGTGCAAAATATTTGTCTTACTATTGGGATACATGTTAAGTCAATTGTTTGACAGTGTGACTGATTATTTTCTGTCTATATGGTAGGTACTCAAATACTTGATTTTGTTTAGTCTAATTTGAGTCCAATAGTATATGCTATCAGGTTGTTTTAAAAGTTTTGTCGACTGTGACTGTGGTGAATACCCAAGTCGTTTGATTTAACAGACAAAACTTTTGAAACAACGCAATACCTATGTGTATCTATGTGACCTAAAACCTGGCACAATTCACTTCAACTGAAACTAGGAAATATTCATAAAACGAAATAAAAAATGAAAAATTGGCAAATCGCTACACATATCCCTCTATTGCATGCTCCATATTATAGGCTGAAAAAAAAATCTAAATATGTGAAAACGTTTTAATTATGTGAAATCGAAGAAGTAATACAGAAAAAACACATTTTTTCAATATTTGAAGAAAAAAATATCTCAAGCCATATATGGCTTCGTATGTATCAAAGCAAAAAATGGGGTTTTAAGCTTCAGCCATATATGGCTTTCCATGCAAGAACAAAATTATAATTTAAAGTTCAGGAAACAATTTCTATCTTTGTTTATGCAAAGATACGCGTTGCATTTTCTACATAAAATAAATGATTGGAATTTACAATCGTTTTGACACATTTTTCAGTCATTCCATATAAGAAAATGCCACACAGTTTCTATCCGCACCGAATGTATTGAAAAATCTTGACTTCTTCGTGAACAATTCTTAAATTTTTTTGCTGGCTATGTATCAGCATTTGATGAACCCTCACGTCTATTTGTGGGTGTGCTTACACGACTTGAAGTCGGGGTTCCCGAAGTGGATGGCCGCATGCATGTATGCATGTATGTATGTATGTATGTGGGTAGGTAGGTAGGTGCATGCATGCATGCATGCATGTATGTGCACCTCGAGATCTGTATTGACAGAATTATCGGCATTATTGCCTAATCTATTCGAGGGCAGATGGCGCTGTACGTAACTATCATCTATTACTTGATCTATTCGCGGGCAGATGGCGCTGTACGTAACCTTCTTGAGATTTCTTGATCTATTCGCGGACAGATGGCGCTATACGTAACCTCCTCGATAGGTTGCTCAAAAGATTACCAAAATAAAAAACATATTTTAAGTATCACAACTTAGTATCACTAGTAAATAGATACTGTTCTTCATAATAATCTTTTAGCTTTTTTTCTGTCCAAACCGTTACGGGTCTCTCAGGTTTTGCAGGTCTTTTTGGAATAGGTTGCTTTGCGTTTTCTTGTGAACGTCTTTTCATTACTGTTTTGAGTTTGAAATTTTCTTTGTTCGATGACGTTGTAGGAAATTCTTCAACTGTTCCAGACTCGATTTCATAAATTTTCTCAATATTTCTATTATTTGAATAATACTCAGGTGGAAAATAATCACTGTCAGAGTCTGACACTATGTCATCTTCAGCGTCCCCGTCTCCTGGAATGTTGTTGAGAAATCGACAACTATTGTAGGAATCCAAATATGGCTAATAAAATAAAATGATGATGAAAAAACTTTTGAATCAAGCTTTCATTTAAGTGCTCTAATAAGATCAAAATAAAATTTTAAATCACATTAACCACATTCATTTTTGACTTTACAGAATTGAAATTATAATAAAAGCTTGTCGCGATAATTTCAATTTGTAACTGATATTTTGTAATTAGGTAGGCACCTACTAAACTTGTAAGCAATTCATAATGTTTGTAATTAAATAAAAGTGCTGTGAATGCTCAAAATGTGGAACTTCAACCTTGAACAACTTTGTAGCACACATAGGATTTATCGGGTTTGAAACTTATTGCAGTACCCAGTTGATCTGTCAGAATGTTTCTTAATTTAAATTTCATCTGACTGAATATGTAGAGATTTCTTTTAGGCATCGCGACATGCTTTCATTATAATTTCAATTCTGTAAAGTCATAAATGAATGTGGTTAATGTGATTTAAAATTTTATTTTGATATTTCAAGAGCATTTAAAATAAAAGCTTGTTTTAAAAGTTTTTTATCATTATTTTATTTTATATTTTTTAGTTTCAATCGATAGTTATCGATCAATACGAAAGTCCATCTATAAAACGGAGAGTCCTTCAACAGAAAAACTTAAGGAACGGGGAAAACTATTATTAGGATAAAATATATTCTAAAGAAGTAGGTAGGTACCTACTCCTCCGGCATTCATTATAGAAGAATTAGCTTGTTATATTTATTAGTCTATTCATTTCATTGATGGTGTCATTATTAGGCTGAGTCCCAGTTAATTTCGAACAGTCTAATTCTTCTATCAGGAGGCCTTTTATTGATGTGACCCTACTTATAAAGCCACGTACGCTTGGCCGGCAGTGAACAACTTTGAACCCAAGTCTACAACAGCGTAGTCAACCGTACTACCCTGCATTTTGTGAACTGTACAAGCCCAGCATAAAACAATTGGTAACTTTCTACGTTCAGCTGTACCACGGCTGAATTTAGCTAGAAATTCCACAGATTTCGGTTGAATAACGTGGATCCCATCTTTGCCATAGTCATTACGGACTGATGGAATGTTCGTGTCATATATTTGTGCTCTCCGGAAACAGGGCCATATAATTTCTATTACATGACCGATGACACCATTCACTAGACCCTTAGACACATCAACATTGTATCGCAACATCATCTTGGCCCCCATAAATATTTCAAACTCTTTAGACAACTCCCCAGTCTTGTTTATATCAGATTCAATTTTTTTTCTCGAAATATATTTTTTTCATTGAAGCCAACCCTGGATGTGGCATCTATTTCATGGTGGGCCTACCAACTGCCTATCATAAACGAATGCGTGTACAAAATTTCATGTTCCTACTATTTACCGCTGAGGATATCTCTCGTACGGAGCCGATCCTGGCAGTAGCATCAGGTCACGTTCATGATCAACATGCATTGTCATCGGTTTTGGACCAGCATGCAAAATTTCAGCATGTCATGAATTTGACCCACTTCCACCGGGAAGTGGGTCAAATTAAACTTGCAAGATTTGTTAAGATACATACAAGTCAAATTGAATAAAAGCTCTTAATAAATGGTTATATTCCTCAAAATGCATATGAAGTCATATATGGATTCTAAAATAAAGTAGTTTTTTCAGCAAAAAAAAAACAAAAATAATCACAAAATATCATAGTGAATAAAGAGCTTATGTACTACTTATACAAAAAAAAAATCACATTCACTCACATTTATAGTTTCCACGATGTTTGCAGATAAACACTACGCAAATCTGTGCCACTCATTTTCAATGCCATATATGGCTCCGTATTCGATAGAGGAATATTGCAGAACTAATCAATCTTTACATGAATGTCACAAAATAATTTATGCGTTTGAAAAATCATCAAGAATTTCTTTAAATGATTATAAAATTCCTATAAATGATGTGAGACTAGAAAATAATGGAATTGGTTCTCTGTGAGACAAATCGTGCAAGTTTTGAGGTCAAACACAACATTGCCAAGTCGCCGTATATTCCTTTTACACATTCCAGTCGATTGGATGACACTATCTTGCTCAGTTAATAGTTTTTGATTGTTTCGGCCCGTGTATTTGCCGATCGTCGAGAAAATTGAAGGCGTTTCAAATGAGAAACGTTTCGAAGTGAAATTTCAAGGGAAACTTGATAAATCTAACAACAGAGACCTATCCTGTCTCCCAAATGTATATGGATGAATGTTTGTCACGTATATAGGTTTTTGAGAGGTATGAACAGTTCAAAGAAGGGCCACAATATCAAAAGATGAAACACGCCCAGGTACTTCCTAAATAATGACCACGAAGATTCTTTCTAAGTCCATAGAAGTATATCTGTAAATTTGGTTTCCTGCAGGACAAACAGTGAATAAGGATTATTATCCTGATATTCTAGACAGATTCTGTGATCGCCTGAAAAGAACTCAACCAGAATTGTGCAAGAACAAGTTGTAGTTACTTCATGATGATAATGCTTCGGTCCACACTGCACTGATTGTCATTCGGAGTCATTTGAAGTCATTTGGAGTCAAGCATGGAGGCCCTCCACCATAGCCAGTAGATCTAGCTCCATACTAATTTTCATGAAATCAAGATGAAGCAGTGCATGGATAGTAGTGGAAAGTATGCTAGAGGACGTGAAGGATGTGAAGGGAAAAATAAAAAAATCTTGTTATTTTCTAGCCAAACTCTGTACATCGATCGATAAGTCTGATATCTTCGAATTTTCATTCAATAATGATCATGGAAATGGATTATTTGTTCACTTCAGAATAGCACTTTATGAAATTTCGTAAGAGGATGACGTTCATCACACACGAAACCATAACTTTTTGATATTTCACCTTTTGTAATTTCATTTATACTATTCCATTAAGGTAACTGATTACGAAATTCAATTGTGGATAACGGTAATCGATAAAATATTAAAAAAATATGAGATTTTCAGTGAATAATTTTCAGGGTCAACTTGGAGCAAATGAAGTCAATGCAAAGAAACGATACCTTCATTTCAGCATCATATCCAGTCGATAGCTTATCGAATAGTACCACTCAACATGTAGCAACAAATACAGACAGCTTTCGCTCTGGATATTGGTTGAAGCCCATTCTAACTCCTGACAACACACTAATCATCTATACTTTTTTGATACTAGCGACTATTGCTGTAACAGTCCTGATAAGAATAGTGTTCTACAGAAGTTGTTTGAATGCTTCCATCAGGCTACATGATAGAATGTTCAGTAAGATTGTGCACTCGACTATGAGATTCTTCAATTCAAACCCTTCGGGACGAATACTCAACAGATTTTCCAAAGATATAGGAATTATTGATGAAGGCATACCAGTGACATTTGGAGAAACCATATCGGTGAGTACAAATATACTACAGTTCATTCGTCGAGGATGCGTTTCTTAGCGAAAAACGTTTTCTTTTAACGATTTTTTCCGAAATTCTGTAGAAGAAAGACATTTTTTCAACACGCTCTTATTAGCTTCACCTGTATGTATGTATGTATGTTCATTTGTTTGTAACTCTCAATCTCGGGATCTGTATTTGACAGAATTATCGACATTATTGCTTGATCTATTCGCGGGCAGATGGCGCTAAACGTAACCTCTTTGATATATCGACATTATCGCTTGATCTATTCGCGAGCAGATGGCGCTATACCTAACCTCCTTTTCACTTTACATTGAAAAAAAATATTTTCTTCTTCAACACGCGCGCCTGCTGCCTTATTTGTAACCCTCCTTTGCGCGCCTGCTGCCTTAGGCTTGATACCTGATTTTCAGGCTCCCTCTCCGGAATCTGAAAATATCAATGGTCATTTTTCTAAACGATATACGTCTTATTGATCTCAAAGTAAAGTTGAATTTTTTTAATGAGCTTAAAACAATAACGAACGGAAAATACTATTATTGTTGTACTAGTATTTTTCGTTCGTTATCGTTTAAAGCTTGATATACAAAAAATATGGCACAAAGCGCTCACACTTTTTTTACAATAATACTAGTATTTTTCGTTCGTTATTGACAGAATGTTTTCGACAGAATGAAAGTGGTGTCACCCGCAAAGAGAACCGATTTGAACGGCATCATATGTTTGCACAAGTCATTCACATAAATGACAAATAAGCGCGGGCCCAAAACAGACCCTTGCGGAACGCCATGCTTAATAGTTCAAAAGTTTCATGACGTACCGTTGAGCATCACTGCTTGTTGACGATTAGTCAGATAGGTTCTTATTAAGTGAGGCGAAATACCTTCAAGTCTGCAATATCGAAAGTTCTACAAGCAACGGCCATCCAGAAATTATATCAAATACAGCGACTGGCTTGTTTAAACATCACAGGAGCCATGAGAACAACACCAACCGCGGAAATGGAATTAATCACGGGTCTGACCCCTCTGGATCTGTACGTTAAGGAGGTTGCGTTAATGGTCATGGTACGATTGCGTACGGCTGGTGTGAACCTCAAAGTAGGAATGGGTCAATTGAGGCTGGACCTATGGCGGGAAGCGCTTACTGCAAACCTCTGCTGCAGGCAACAAGTGATGCAATTGAACCCAGGTTTGTGTTTAATAAACCCTACAAAATACAAATTAAGCAGAACACAGAGTCAGATGCTACAAATTCAATACGGATTTATACAGACGGCTCAAAAACCAGGGAAGGCTCAGGATGTGGAGTGTATTCCAGATCACTAAGCCTAAGGATTAAGTGGGGAATGGAAAGAAATACCAGCGTGGTCCAAACAGAACTGGCTGGTATCTCAATCGCCACAAAAGAAATAACCAAGAAAGGAATTTCTGTCAAAAACATAACAATCTGCACTGATAGCAGACAAGCACTATTAGCCTTGAACAGACAGCGGGTTACCTCAGGGCTAGTACTAGAGTGCCACCAATATTTAGCCAAAGCCTCGGTAGATAATAACATTATCCTGAGGTGGGTTATAAGGCACGACAGGAGTGAAGGTAATCGCATTGCCGACTCTTTAGCCAAGGAAGCGGCTGGACTAAGAATTTTAGGACCCAGTGGCACCCACGGGCTGATGAGTTCGACAATTGTGGAACTAGTCAAATGTTACACCCATGCTCAATCCTTAAAGAGATGGGATGGAATCAAAGGATGTAATCTTGCCAGGATCACCTTGAACGACCCTGGGAAGCTGGCGCCGAAGAAATATCTGGCGATGATCAGGAGAAATCTACGTCTTACAGTAGGATTTCTGACTAGCCACTGTCAACTAAGGAAACACCTCCATAATATGAGGCTAGTGGACACACCTCTATGCAGGATGTGTGAACAGGAAGATGAGACTTTCAGGCATGTCCTGTACGAGTGCCCGGAGTTATTGTCAATAAGAGAGTGTGTGTTCGGCGAGTCTTGGCCTACACCTGCCGACGGAATATGATATTGAGGTTTGAAAGGCTTCAACACAAATTCAAAATCACCGTATATAACAGAAGGAGCTTTTTTTTAAACGTTTTTCGAACTCGAAAATGTTTCACCCTCCTCAGGCACCTTGATGGCTGTTTCATTGATTACCTGGTAGTCCTCAGTATTTTTTGTAGTAATTCTTGGTATCTATCGAAAGTACTGTAGAAAGCGATCACAAAAGTACTTTTGATCATGTGCTCCTCACCTTCATTGTGTATCGCTTGGTGGTCGATAAACGCAGCATATTTAGGAATATGAATGAACTGATTGATTGAAATGAAATGAAACTGTTAGTTAGGCAATTGTATTTTCCAAATCTTCCTTCTCAGCCTAGTTCTCAGCCTGGCAATAATGCAAATCATTACAATCATTGTTATCAATATGTATCCAACCAGTCTCCTTCATGTGATAAACGCACACAATACCCCCAGAGTAGGCATCTCTGTGTGTGACATGGAAAATCGCCCTGCGACCCAAATTGTAAGCCTCTTCATCTGTAAAATCCTATTTGTATCCGGAATCCAAGACACCAAATGCATGAATTGAACCTGACTCGACACTAAATACTCTTTCAGGTGTTTTGGTACCCTCGAAGTCTACATAGTACAGGTGTGGACCTTTTTTATCCCAACCTGCTAACATCATTCTCATTGACAGTTCCATTCCCTTGTAGTTGTATACCATGTTTGCCACCAATTTGGAAGCAGTTGCCGCAGAAATACGCTCCCTGTTCTTTAATTCATACATTCTTCATTGTTAGGCCAGTACACGGTCCCAATAAACACAGTCTGCAGCATCTCCAGTCAATGTTCCTAATAATGAATTATTGATTTCCACGATTGTTTTCATGATTTGCGACCCAATAAATTGTCCGACTTCAGCTCTGGAGTCTACAGCCAGAACCACTCTTATACATAAAACCAAAAGTTGTGGTACCATGATCAAAAGCCATTTTTATTTCTCTACCGCTTGCATCCCTCGTTAATTGTGATACCTTTGCTGCTGGATTTGCGATGGAAGACATTTCAAGGTTCAGATTATTTTCAACCTGACTTACAAGGAAGGGTTTTTTTCTCCTTGTTGGAATATGGCTCGCGTTCAGCCCATTCCCAAAAAGGGCAAGAAAAATCTTCCAAATAAATATAAACCAGTCGCTTTGCTGTCAGAGATGTTGAAAATTGATGGAGAAAGCCGTAAACCACCATAACCTTAAATATTTGGAAGGCTTCAACATCTTGAGCGATCATCAATATGGCTTTCGTAAACAAAGATCAACAGGCGACCTTCTATCGTATGTCACCCATATTTGGAATAAGACAATCGAGGAACATGGAGAGTCAAGAGCTGTAGCGATACTATGGCTTATCAAATCATATTTGTTCCATTGGTGTTCAGTTTCCTGAAAGAACGTTTCCTGCAAGTAGCCGTCGATGGATATCTCCCGAATACTTTCACCATCAACGTTGGTGTTCTCCAGGAAGCCATATTGTCTCCAAACCTCTTTTTGTTGTTTATCAATGGCTTTATTGAAAATCATCGAGACTTCATGAACTTTCGGAATTTGGAGCACCCAGTATTGACTGTTTTGATAAAAAAAATTAAATGATTTGTCAGATTTTGAAATGAGAATTGTCAGCTGAAAAGTTTTTGAAATGTTTTGCAATTGCGAAGAGTTATTGGTATTCATAAACAGTTTATTCCATTTGTATCCTTTTCGATATGTATTGTTCACCGGGTAGGTGCTGTTTTACGAATTTTATAACAACTTATTGAGATAACAAAGAATACAATATATAGCTTTTCTGACGACATCAACTTCTGTCGTCGTTCCATTCGGATTCCAGGACATCGTCTACGGATACACATCTTCACCGGCAGCATGAGGTTGCATACCTTAAATAAGATCTGGAGGTTCAATTAAATGCCACAAAAACCTAGAAATCAGTTTTTTCCAAAAAAGTTAATGTTTTCAAACCGGATATAGTGATATCAGGACAGACAAGTTTGCTTTCTGCTTTGATAAGTTTTTGGAGTACAAAATAAACATCAATATGTCACAAGAATTGCGAAGGCTGCTTCTCGAAAGTTTGGAATGCTATTCAGAGTTAGAAAACTGCACAAACCCCAGTGAATTTTGATGCTTTATATTGCTCAGATCAGACCTCCATTGGAGTATTGTTCACATGTATGAAGCTGCGCCCCTAAGCGTACCCTGAAGCTGCTGGTTTCCATCCAGGAAAGAGCCATAAGACTGATTGGAGACACTAACATTACTTGCAATCTTGATAGTCTGGAACGACGAAGAATTGTGTCTCTCTTTTATAGATACTTTCAAAGGAGTTGTTTGAATGATATTTGATTCCACCAAGAGTGGTACATATCATAAATACAAGACACCTCAAAATTCACTGTTTGAAAACTATTTCATTAGGAGTACTGTGTTTATGTGGAATAGATTTCTCGAGAACATTTTTTCAAATGAATTCAACCTTCAGCGATACAAATCCAACGTGAATTGCTACCTTTGGACAGGCAACGGTATAAGACCGCCTTCAAAATTCGTCTGCAATGCTTGTGGTTCCACCCTAAAAAATCTATACATTACAAATTTCACATTTGGTAGATCCTTGCGGATCTGAGGACTTCGGATAAAGTCTATTGTGATCCTGTTTCAACTTCGGCACTTTTGAATTCAGAATAACTCATTTTAGTAGGTTTACATAACCGCTGGTGAGTCTGTTAGCTCCAACATTATTTTTTTCTCCAACAAAATAGTCGATAGTATCTAAAATAATTCATTAACAATTGAACGACGCTTTGACAATATTGGATAGTACTCATACCCATGCCTATAGCACATATGGAACTTATAATTTTGATTCTAACACTCGCTTGTGGATTTTCTTGGATTGTTGATTGATGGATAAAAATTTTTTACAGATTGGTTTTTCGGTGATTGCTACATGTTCGATGGTCGCGATACTCAACCCATGGATGATGATTCCAAGCTTCATAATTTTTCTAGTATTCTACTTCATGAGGAGAGCCTTTTTAGTATCAAGCAGGAATATAAAACGCATAGAAGCTATAAGTAAGTGAGTCAAATGAATTTTCTTACATCAAGTGTATTGGTTCAAATTACTATTTTGTATTTATTCAGAAACGAGCAGTGTCATCAATCACCAGAACTTCAATACTCTTCCCGACGCGCGTTCCACCAAGCAAGTTGGCACCTCCAGAGATGAATAGATATTGAATACTTATTGAAGAGTATTGCAGCTCTGATAATTGGGAAAAATGCTCGTTCTTGGATTCATTTTACTCGTATGTCAGGGATTCCACTAACCAATTTTTAATTTTTCTAGCACGCAGTCCTGTTTATACCCATCTTGCAGCCACGCTTCAAGGATTGACTACCATCCGAGCCTTTGGCGCAGAAAAAATCCTTTCCATAGAGTTCGACAGATTTCAAGATTCCTACACATCCGCATATGTCATGTTTACTAGTGCGACTCGTGGATTTGGGTTTTGGATGGACTTCCATTGCAGTATATATATTTTACTGGTAATGGTCAGCATTTTGTTTATCGAAAACGGTGAGTTAGTTTCATGAAGATCAATTATATCAATTCGAAAGTTTTCCATACTTCTTCTTCGGAAAACCCGCCGTAGATTCGGTTTGTGGAAAAATGTGTCATTGCAGTAACTGTTAGCAGAATATTCTAATTCCATATATCAAGTAACTCAAATTCATTCTATCATTGAAATTACGATTTCTTCAACATGCAGCTCTACACGAGATATATAATTTCATTCTTAGCTGTTACCAATAATAGTTATAACGGTCATTCTATCCAAACCGATAAAATAAAAAAAATGTATCGTTGGTCACCTAAACAGAGTTCCACAAACTCCGGAAAAGCGAGACTTCCCTACAACGATAAAACTAACCACAGTTGACCGAGTGTTCGAAAGGATATATTAGCGAAGAGGGTCGAAGAGAGAAGTCGCTGAATGTAAAGAGAACCTGCTCATCGATAGATGTTTAACGCAGGACTCGATACCTCCCTATGGCCTGGATCGATTACCATAAGGCATTTGATACAATATCGCATGAGCTCATCTTGCATTTGCTCATATATCTTGCGGTACCCGACAAAATAGTGAGATGGATTGCACAACTGATACCACTCTGGCGAACTCACTTCATCATAACATCTGGTCGAGCCAGAGTCCAAACAGGGTGGGTAACTTTCAGAAGGGGTGTATTTCTATATGACATCTCCATCAGTCCTTGAGGATGGTGGAAAAGTACACGCATTCTATCGGTATAGACATATGCTATCGGGATAGACAAATGTGCAATGATCTATCTCAAAAGAGAACGATGCGGGGACTACGGAGAGAGTGTGCAGCTCGTAGATGAAAGTATCTTACACCATTTGGATGCCGGAGAGACGTATACTTACCTCGGGGTGGAACAATGCCCCTCTCCGCAGCAAGTATCAGCACAAACTCCGAAAGATCTGGTCATTAGAACTGTGAGAAAACGGGTGAGAAAGTTGCTGCAACGAATATGCTTGCAATTCCAAACCTAACTTGTTTGAAGTAGTGAAGTGGACTCGAGAGGAGCTGTATCAACTCGATGTAAAAACCCGAAAAATGATGCTTCTCTATAGGAGTTTGCATCCCAAATCGTCCGTTCAACGATTGTACTTCTCTCGACAACAGGGATGCCGTGTCTACATGAAAAAATGGTACTGGATATAGCCAGTAAAGTCGTCAGGAGTAGAAGTGACCATGAGAAAGCAGGAATTGGAGCATTTCTCTTTTGGGCAGCTGCCCGAGCAACTGATGAACTAGGTTCAGTTTTCGATACTGACGAGACGACCACAACTGTCACCGAATTGGAACCCGTTCAGCAAAAAGCTCATATAAAAGCCGCAGAGTTCACCTCACTTCTGCGAAAACACAAGGATGAGCCAATGCATGGGGTCTTCTTCGATGACATTGGAGACCTTGGCTTATCGAAGCGCCTGATTTTCGCTTTGCTCCGGTCGAGTGAGCTGAAGTCGGAAATTGAAGGATTCAGCATGGCTTGCCAGGATGGTGTTTTAGCTTAGTCTACCGCAGTCGCGTGATGGGTATAGAGGTTCCTGATACAAGGTGTAGGTCCTGCCGCGAGGCGCCCGAGACCCTAATGCACTTGCTATCAGCATGTCCAGCACTTGCGGTCTAGGCCTATATCCATCGACATAACGCGGCCCTAAGAGTGCTATATTACCATCTACGGCTTATTACGATATTGACGAGACATCGGTGTTGCCCTACGCTCCGGGGGATATTGAATCAGTTTTCCCCAAGAAAACCTCAGTAGGCTCAAAAAAACCATGTCTCAATGAATCCAACTACGATTCCAGTCCGAGGAGAAAAAACAAGATACTGGACCATTATTTGAAAAACAAAAACAATTTTTCGTTAACTCAACTATTTCCAAAACACAACTCAAAATCATTCAATAATTCAGTATGGATTTGGTGGACATTTCAGTATAATTCAACATATAATGATAAGTGATACCTCATTTGTTTTGAGGAGTGTACATGATCTGAAAAAGTGTATTCTTCAATTTCATCACAAGTTGAGAAGACAACTCCACATAAGTTATTTCTATATTTCAGATTCATATGTTGGCAATGTTGGTTTGTCAATAACTCAAGCGATCAGTCTGACCGGAATCTTTCAATATTTCTTGAGACAGTGGAGTGAATTCGAAAACCAAATGACGTCTGTGGAGAGGATACAGGAATACGCAGATATCATTCCAGAACAGGATATCATCACAAAATCTCCTCCAAAATCTTGGCCTGACAGGGGAAGAATTGACTTCGTGAACGTGTGCATGAAATATTCCAAAAATACTCCATTCATTCAAATCAAGTAAAAATGTTTATTCAAGCTTTTGGATTAATTACAAAATATTTGTTATAGTGTATTTTGTGTGGGGCCCTGCTATAGGCTTATGCCTCTTTACGGATAGTTTGGTAGATTATGTGTGTGTGTGTTGTCTTATAATGTCATGTGTTTCTCTTGTTTTTCCGTTGTTCCGTTAGAGTGGTCCAGGTCATTTGCAATGGTCATTGGGATAAGGGTACAGGTTGTAAGGCCGGGGGTAAATGGTTCCCGATTTCAGCTCCTTCTAGGACGTAGCTGTCCGCTATCTAATTCCCAGTGGATATTCCTCTAGGATATCCAGGATCTGCTCCGGCGGATCTTCCATTGCTCCCAGGAGTCTTGCTGGGGGAAACGCGAGCTTCTTTCTAGGTATCCCTCTGAGTCATCCATGGGATAGGTAGATAGGTAGATCTACTCGACTCTCCACCGCAACCCACAAGGGTTTATTGTGGCTCACACCTACTCGCACTCGGCAAAATAAACCCAGCATCTTAACGAAGACGATTAGTTTGTATGATGAGTCGTCTTTCAGGTCAGATGGTGAGAGTACGGATCTGCTAAACTCTAAGAACCTGATTAATTCCCTAGCGGGGCAGGCACAAAGTATATGCTCTGCTGTTCCATCATTTTCCAGGAGGAAGCGACACAAACTGTCTTCCGACAGTCCAAGTCTCTGCATATGATGATTCAAATGACAGTGACCTGTAAGAAGGCCTGATAGACATCGTAGTTCATCCCTACTCTAGTCCAAAAACTGTTCGGTATCAAGCTTCGAAGGGTGAATAAATGCATTGTAGTGAGCCAATCCTGAAAGATTCTGCCAGAAGTCCATGAATCTTCTTGCCATCTAGGTGTTCAGTGTTTGTTTGGCAAAGCCCATAGCGATGCCAATGACAGGTTCTGGTCCGATGAAGCCGCTTGCAGCACCCTCCTTTGCAAGAGAGTCAGCAGCTCCATTACCTTACAGGCCAGTATGGCCAGGAATCCAGCCCAGAGATAATCTATTAAGCCTTCCGTGTTAGGAATCACACGTTAAAAGGTAAGACCTCGTTAATCTTTAGCTCGCACAAGTTTCGACTTCTGAGGGTTGTCGTTCGTAGGGGTGTGACAGCTGGTTAACGGAAAAACAGATTTTAAACAGATTTTTTTTTCTTATCGAGAAGAGTCGGTTTTGGCAGTTTGCTACCAATTTCGACGTTGCTCAGTAGGAGTCAAGAGCTTCCAACGCCACTTGACTGTCCGAGAATACTTTTATTGACTTGTGAGTGAGGTTGGATTTATCCAATCCCTCCGCACACAATTCAATAGCGTAAATTTCCGCTTGAAATACAGTTGCATACGTTCCTAGGCAGGTAGATAACTTTGTCCTGGGTCTTCGACTAAAATCACCTGCACCAGAACCGGAAGGTGTTTTTGATCCATCTGTGAACCAACGACTATCTGCTCTTAATATTTTCTTCTCCCGGAAGATCCAGTCCTCTCTACTCGGGAATACTACCTTATAAGACAGTTCCTAGTTAACAGTTGGAGGCAGTCACAGGTCATTTCCAGAATGCTGTGACTTCCATTGTCAACTAACAGTCTGTTGCACTCTGCATTGAATTGATTTGTGCAATTGGCAATGTGCACAAGTCTTTATGTAGTCCATCTAGCCACTTCTGTGGAGAGGAAGTAGATCTAGAAGGATCTCCATGGCCGTTGACGGTGTGGTACTGATGGCACCACTGAAAGCCAAACGGGCCTGTTTCTGTAAGCGAGAGAGCTTCGCTTGGGCCGTTTTCTGTAAAGCCATAAGTGATCATTGATCTGACAATCGTATGGGGAGTCCAAGGTATTGTCAGCGAGTTGATGGCATTGGCGTTATTACTGCTCATCATTCATGTCGCATATCGTCCTTGAAGTTCCTGAAATCGTAGGTTGATTTGTGTAGTATTTACTAGGTCATATAAGTTTTTAGATGGGTAGCGTTAAGGAAGGTCGTGGTTGTTGTTCATTCATTATCATGGATGAATGCTGAAAGCATAGTCACGAGGAATGATGATAATAAAACTTTCCACCAGGTAGCAAGTACTAAATGTTTTCATTCCTCAGTATTTATATTTGTTGGACTGAAATATTAGGCATCGCGGGTGTAACAGGTTCGAGCTGTTTAGCATGTTTAGTTTGTTGGAGAAGAAGAAGTTGATGGAAGTTATGAGTGTTTTACGTGCTCAGCGATTTTCTGCAATCGTGAAAAATAGATCAGAGAATTTACATGGAATTTTGTGTGAAAAATAGAATTGAGTGTCCGGAAACAATTAAAATGTTGACAGTAGGATGTGGTAATTGTAAAAATGTTTACAACTTGTAGAGGATAGATTTTCACAGAAAGTCAAAAAAATGGTGAATGTCGATGCTTGCCCTAAACGCCCTAGTACATAAACAACTCCGATGAGTATGTTGAGAAAGTAAAAAACTTGTTATGGAGAATCATCAAATCACTATCAGAGAAGTCGTTGTGCATGTTGGCATGTCTATTAGCTTATGCCAAGTAACTTTTCCGTAAATTTCGGACATGAAACATGATGCAGAGTATTTCGTTTGATAATTGATGAATTTCGACCATAAAAAAGGTCGCATGAGCGACGTCGACAATCCAGATTTGGTTGAAAGAGTCCAATCGTTCCAATGGAAGAGACAAGACCAAAAAAGCACGCCAAGTTCGATCAAATGCCAAGGTATTGTTCACTGTTTTCTTAATACCACATGGTCGTATGGTAAATGAGGATTATTATCTTGGAGTCATGCGCACTCATAAAAAGGAATACGGAGAAAACGTCCGGTATTGTGGAAAATAATTCATAGCTTTTGCATCACGATGTAACTGTTCACTCGTTATTGTTTGTTCGCGATTTTTTGGCAGAAAACAACACCGTAATCATGCTTCAGTAACCGTATTCACAACGTTTTATCCCCTGAGACTTTTTTCTGTTCCTAAGATTGGAGAGATCCATGAAAAAACGGTGTTTTGCGATGATCGGGGAGATCAAAAACGAATCGCTGACAGAACTCAAAGACATATCAAAAAATGTATATCAGAACTGCTTCGAGGATTGGAAAATATGCTAGCACGCCTATGTTATATCAAAGGGGGACCATTTTGGAGGGGAAAAATAGATATTGATAAATTCATAAATATTTCTTGGAAAAAAATGGAAATTTATTTCATGTTTTAAACTTACATTGTATACCAAACCACCCGTTTTCACCCAAATTTTTTCTAATCAATTGAAACTATGAATCTCAGTGCTATACTTTGAGGAAACGAAAATCGTATGAGGACATTTACTAAACTTCAAGTATATTTTTTCAAATTTAGAATATTTGCAATAGTTTTTGAAAAACGAACCCCTCTTACTGGTTGAGGAAATCGTCATTTATGACTGTGAAACTATTTGTTAGCTCAAACCACCGTAAATTGCTATGTGTGAAATTACTAATCGAATGTCGCCTCAATCCATGAAACTGAATTGGAATTATCTGACATGGCACTTATGATCTAGACTACAAGCAATATTCAAATAAAAGTTTCGAACCAGAAATGCGTTCTTTCATAATTTCTTCATTTTCAGATACTATGGGATGCCCTTGAACAAGTAGAACTCAAAAGCGTAGTGAATGAATTGCCTGAAGGTTTAGACAGTAAGGTCAGTGAAGGCGGCTCCAATTTCAGTGTGGGACAGAGACAGCTCATATGTCTTGCTCGAGCCATAGTACGCAAAAACAAAATTCTAGTACTAGACGAGGCCACAGCCAATGTAGACCCACAGACAGATGCTCTGGTCCAGAATACCATAAGACAAAAATTTTCCAACTGTACAGTATTAACCATTGCTCACAGGCTGCACTCCATAATGGATTCAGATAAGGTGTTGGTAATGGACGGTGGAGAAGCAGTAGAATTCGATCATCCGTTTAACCTTCTGCAGATGAATAGAGGGGTTTTCCAGGAACTTGTTAACCAAACTGGAGCTTCGATGGCTCAAAATCTGTATGCTATTGCTGAAGAGAACTTTTCGCTGAAGAAGTAATTTCATGTTTGAAACAAGGTTGACAATGTTTCATGGTGACTTCCATCAGTTCGGACTCCTATTGTCTAATATGACTTTAATACATTTGGAAATCTATGAAAGAACAAATGAAATTAGAACGAATAGCTGAAATATCGATTTTATTGAGCAATAGAATGTGAAATGAATATTCAGTGAAACAGTTAAAATATTCAAGACACAAAATGGAAGTGACCACAAAGTACAATGAAATAAAGAAAGGAAATTGAAAATAAGCCAAGGAGTGAAAAACAAAAAATAAAAATAGTTTCAGACCATGTTTCATCACACTGTTTCGATTGTTAGTATCCACAATCATCTTCGGGGATGACTGGACTATCCCTTTGGGAGATGACTATTTAAAGGTCATTTGAGAACTTTCACTTCTCCCCTCTTTCCTTTCTCGGCTTCAACAGTTCATATATTTCGTATCTCTACGCAAGCTTCTGAATGAGTCATTGCAAAACATATATTATCATTGAGTGTTTTCGATTTATGGAAACTATTGTAGAATTTTCCTGACATTGGCTCTGTTCATTACTTTGTTTCAAAATCCCACTAATATTCCAATTGGAAGTCCATTCTACTAGCGTAAATATAATACGCAGAATTTTCCATTTCTTGTATTCATCACAAACCTCATTTGTTACTTCAACTCATTCATACACCAATTCATCATCTTGTGTCTCACAGTTTTTCAATTTCCACTGTGATTTTAGCAAAAATTGATACTTCATTTTTCAATCGCCACCTCACATTTCTTTGTATTGAATTCTTTCGAATGTATTGATCTTCTTTTTATAGATCATTTCATCGCTTTCACGTATCCCCGCTTCCGTCTCCACTTCACCGGTTTAGCAGGAGTTGACCGATTTCAGCTTGGTACCACTTAATGTTATGTTGATGACACCAAACACGCTCTGCTCTTTCCGATTTGCTGGTTTCTCCTCGCTGTATGTTTTTCTTGTGCTGGGCAATGCGGAATTTCAATGGCATCCACCGATACAGGTGTCATCAAAAAATATTTTGAACGAAATGATCACTACAAAGTGATGGTTAAACAGACATTGAGTAGAAGACAGAAAGAGCCTCGCAAGAAAAAGAGGCCGTCACAACCAGTGCTTGTACTTTCGAACATCAGAGGATTTTTGGAGAGGATGGGAAAAACTGGGTCCAAGAACATTGTCAGAACCTGCTTCCGATCCGGAAACACTATCCGTAGCATCCTCATGAAAATCATGCAACCAAAATTGGACTACGATTTCCGGCAAGTCCGCATTGCCGAGTACAAGTAGACGATAAGAGCAAATCTGGAATAGCAGGACATGTTTGGTCTCATCAACATAACGTCAAGTAGACCCAAGCTGAAATCATCCACAGGGAGGAACACTGGTTCAAGAGGATGTTAAATAAGCTGCAGATACGTTGTTCAACGACGTATTCAGCCAAGCTAGCGTAGAGATACGCAACATATGGAAACCTGTAATGAAACGGAAAACTCTCGCTAAACCGGTGAAGCTGAGGGTAGAAAGAGGGGATAGTAAAAGCGCTTGAATGATCTATGAATAGTCATCATTCGAAGGAATAGTCCAGTCATCTTCTGAAGATGAAACGTCGTGAAGTTACTTTGAAATTTTTTTCAATTTTTCACTTTTTTGTATTTTCACTTTATTATTGATATTTCAGCTATTCATTTTGATTTCATTTCTACTTTCATATATTTCGAATTGTAGTGGCCAATGAAAGTCCGAACTAATAAAAGTGAAGTAATTCGATGGCGATTGGAAAATGATATATCAGTTTTTGCTAAAACCACAGTGCTAATTGAAAAATTGTGGAATACATGATGATGGATTGATGTATGAATGAGTTCAAGTAACAAATGAGTTTTGTGATGAATACAAGAATTGAAAAATTCTGCATTATACATTTACGCCAGTAGAATGGACCCCCTATTGAAATATGGGTGGTATTTTGAAACAAAGTAATGAACAGAACCAGTGTCAAGAACTTTAACAATGTTTTAGAGAAACTCTATTTTTGATAAATTGAAAACAATTCAAATATCAATGATGATATAACCATAATTTCAGAAGCGATATGTGGAAAAAAATGTAAATATTTTTCCAAAAGGTATGCTTGAATTTAAACCTGAAAATGTCATCAGAGAGTAAATTTTTTGAGAACCGAAAAATATTCAATTCAAAAGGTAAACTACGATTCAGAATTCGAAAAGGCTTCGAAGTTTTATGATACACCATTGAAGGGTTAATCTTTTGGCAGGGTTGGCAATCGAAAACTTGACATGGAGGTTTTGGGTAATAATCTTACAAATCCGAAAAAACGCTCAGATAGGTCGATTATTATTGGGAAGGGGGGTGATCAACCCTTGAAATTTCAATAGAGAATAGGTGGCGAGTCGCACATCGTTTGAAATATCTTGGAATTCTCTAAACAANCGTCCCGTCCCGTCCCGTCCCGTCCCGTCCCGTCCCGTCCCGTCCCGTCCCGTCCCGTCCCGTCCCGTCCCGTCCCGTCCCGTCCCGTCCCGTCCCGTCCCGTCCCGTCCCGTCCCGTCCCGTCCCGTCCCGTCCCGTCCCGTCCCGTCCCGTCCCGTCCCGTCCCGTCCCGTCCCGTCCCATCCCATCCCATCCCATCCTATCCTGTCCTATTATATTCTATTCATGATGAATGATTGGATTCACCTATATCCAGTGGTACTGAGTGTGCATTACTATGAATCTTGTAATTGATATTCAAGTGAAATCGAATTCAGACCATTAATGTGGGCTCTTGTTTTCTGTATAGACGAATGCAGTACGGTCATTCGTAACGTATTATTCCAAACTAGCTTCAAAGAAAAAGTTTCGAAATTAGACAGGTAGGAAACAATTTCTTTTCATGGAAGCCTCGATATGTCCTAGGAATTCCCCTATATTTAATTTTTCGTCCAGATTTATTTCTCATATATGTTGACTTCCTTCCAGATTTGAATTTGCTACTCAGTTCAGAACTATACGTTGATGATTTTTCGCTCTTTCGTTTCTGCAAAAATGTTCAAGATAGTGAAATGAACATTTTTTGTGGAGGACTCTATACTTGTTACTGTTTTTGGGTATATAACCTTTCACAATCTTTTGATATTTCATGGAATCGGCTGATGAAAATCCATAACGTTTTCACTCAACAGTTTTAGAAGCTGAAGAAGGTCGAAGAAGCCATTGTATGGCGAAACACGTATTACGTTTTCATGAAACTGTTTAGTAAAAAACTCACAATGAAGTGTTTTCGAATACTTCCACAATAGGTTATATACCCAAAAAACAGTGAAAAGTTAAATATATATGTAATGAGATCTACGATAGGTTGCACGTCATCAATCAACTTTTAATATTGGGTAATAGTCCTTGAAGAAAATCAGATAAACCATTGTCTGATACTGATATATCAAATACAAAGCATTTCATTGTTCATTGATCAATCTCTATCATGAGTTGAGCACTTTTGATGTCCCAAAAATAAAATTCTTTCAGTTATTGGAAGTTGGGTAATTATGATCATGGATGATGCTGAATATTACTGGAGTTTTTTCTCAACACNAATATTGATGTGCGTATTTGTTTAACTGTTAGATCCTAGTGGTGCACGTTTACCTGTCAAGCGGTTGTCTTTTTTTGGTTAGCTGTTTTGTTTCTAAATTTCAATTTTTCAAATGTCATTTGTGATAAAAATGAAATGTAACGTGATGGGATACTCACGGATTTCCAAGATTTTCGGGATGACACTACTTGAACGTAGGAATTTAGAACACTTTTTATTTTTTATTGGATTCAACTAGTTTTCGAGATATAGCCTGTCAAATTTCGTATGATGTCATATTTTACCTTTTTCTTTACAGCAATGAACAATTGCAATTCACACATCTTTTTCCACATCATCACAAATGTTACCATCCCTTCACTGAAAGGTTTTCAATGTAGTAGGTCAGGATGGATGTTGAGAAAATATAGTTTTTTCAAAGTTAAATATTCGAAAATACGTTCGTTTTCGAATTCGGAGGTCAGGTTAGATGTTGAGGATAGACAGTTTTCTAAAAATTCCATATTTAGGTCAGATTAGGTCGGGTTAGGTAGGAATAGGTTAGGTTAGGTTAGGTTAGCTAAGGTCGAGTAAGGTTAGGTTGAGTTGTGTTAGATTCAAAAATTCGAAATATTTACCTTTGTTGTATGTTGCGTTATGTTGACGTTGGTAATCAGTTGAAAATTGCAAAAATGATACATCGTTTGACTTTGTTACTTGTCCTAACACAAGAGTATGTTTTTAGAAAATGAATTTATTAGTCAATAGGCACCAACTAGGATTTGGTTTATTCTGAACACATTTGAAGCAGATATTGTATAGTGGCGCGTTAGATCGCTATCAAATGAATAGCTTCCTAGAGGGAAGAAGGCTCTTAGCGCCAAAATGAAACAAGTCCAATGGAGCTTTCAGAAGAAGAGTGGGAGCCGCCACGTCTCGGGAGACGAGAGCTCTTACGTCTCCTGCAACTCGAGCCGGAATCCACGTCTCCTCTTCAAAATGCAAAAGGAGGAGTGTGGGCTTCCACATGAGAAGGAAAAACGGCTCTTCCTAGTCACATGGCAGATTACGATGTGGAGCTATTATCCAGTGCTGTTTGCAATTGACCCACCGTTTGGGATAAAAGACTCTACATGTATACGGACCGAAATGAAGTAGTAAAAAGTTAGGTGGAAGTCTGCAAAGTACTCAACGTAGATTTCACATCATTATCCATTCCTATTTTTTGTTGATTTAATGTATCCAAAATATTCTTCATCGTTGAAGTTACTGTCATCGAAATTTCTGTCGGTGTCGGTGAAAAAAGTATTTGGCAACAGATAGCGTGCAATCAATTCTACAACTGAGCTCAAGGAACCAGGAACTAAACAGGCTTCCGGTGTGAATGGGCGGTAGGTAGGAGTGATGAAGGTTCCCGTATAGGAGCGAGAGACGTGAAGTTCCTCGTGTGAAAGGGGACTCAGGGTTTGTAAACTGTTAATTCCATCACATAAAAAC